TATATATATATATATATATATATAAAGCATGTAAACTAGAAATGTTGCAAAAAAAGGGGTAAGGGAAAGGTAAGAAATGGGGGATGGAAATACAATAATTTACGATGATCGAAAGACACATATACTACCCCTTTCAACAATGCAAAATATTTGGAATGCAAAAAATCAATGCTAATTAAATGCAACAAATAATTAAAAATTCATTGACATAGTTAAGAAAATAAAATAAAATAAGATAATGCAGGATCGAAATTCGGTCACACATAGCCGCATTAATTTAAATAAACAAATATACAAATATTACAAAAAAATAATAATACCGGGAATGCAACTTGTGCATGAAAATGTCTCGCGATGAAACATTCTTTTTTTTGTATACTTTCTTTTTTTTCCTTCCCTTTCTCTCAATCAACACAATTCCTGTACTTTTCATTGGAATTATGATAATTCTTCTGTAATATTACACACACTATTTAATTAATATCTTACGCACAAAAAGAAACAAATTTTGGAAAAACAAGAGAGAGAGAGAGGGAAGAAAATGAGAGAGAAAGCAAAAAAAAAAAGAAAAAAAAAAAACAAAGGATCAAAGACAATCCTGTTTTGTATTCCACTTTTTTCGAATTAATATTATTATTCCAACTATCTATCCGAGGGAATGTTATTTAAAGAAAAATCGTCCAAATTTTTCAGTAGCAATTTTATACGAACATTTTTCTACGAATATTCTTATCCTATTGTCATTATTATATTTCGAATATATAAAAGAACTGATCACGTAAATTAAATTAAAAAAAAAAAGAAGAAAAAAGTCAATAAATAAATAAATAAATAAATAAAGGGACTCATAAAAATGCGAAATTGTTCATCGTCCAATATTTTAGATTATTTCTTTTCTTTTCTTTTTTTTTCTTTAATTTCTTTGGTCCTATTCGTCAACAGGACACACGCTTAATTGTTTAAACAATTATCTCTCGCCACGTATAAAGCGTGCCAATGAAATCATGTCTATTAAATAAACGTGTAAAACATGGCGTGTTAGATATTTAAAAAAATATTTATACATGTATACATTAATATGAAGAATGATTGAATGAGGCAAACCGGGATCCATTGTTTTAATTCTTTATCTATTATAATCGAGAGAGAGAGAGAAAAGAGAGAAGAGTGTTTAGATAATATCCCTGTTGTTAAATATGTGTTTTTGTCATTGTCGCAATGTAACTAAAAAATATAACTGTTAGATAAAGGGCAGCATTGCTGTGCGATGCTAAAAAGAGGTCACGAGTCCTCTTTCTCACATCACTCCTGATAAACTTCTCTTCATTTTTAAGCACAACTGCTAAGTATTTTATAACATTTCTTTTTTTTTTTTTGTTTTGATACAACGACCAAAATTAATAGATGATCATCTTACATGATAATTGATGCATTGCCATATTATGAAGACTTTACAAAATATTAAGTACAAAAGTTTGGAAACTTTTTTATATGTCCAATTATAAAAAGAAAAAAAAAAAAGAAAGATTGATTCTTTAATCACGACTTCTAAGAACTGCGACTGCTAACCAAATTGAATTAGTTTTACCGATGTAACGTTTTATATGATAAACTATGGCAAATTCAACAGGACCAGTTACATTATGGGTTTTCGTAGAAGCTAAGCGTTCTATTAAATCCTCCAAACTTGATTGTCTCAAGTTCAATATGAAACCGTGCATGTAATAAGCTCTGTACAATTGTTTCAAATCTTTTTTATCCGGTTGCCTAGACGTATTATTATCCTCGATCTTTGAAATGTAATTTCGTAGGACTGCGATAGCATGGCGATTGTAAATGGTTGTTAATTCGGCAGAACTACGCCAATGGGAAAATTTATCACGTAATTGTTGTTCCATTTGCATAGCCGAATCACGAAGAGTTTCATCATCTTCTTCTTCTTCTTCTTCTTGGTGTACGTTCAATTCAAGAACTTGAACGGTACGTTCGCTAGTAGAAGGAGCAATGATTCCTATTGGACGCCAATCCTTGCTACTTTTCACGTCGTATTTTAAATTATGCGCTAATATAGACTTTTGTAAATTCTCCCATATCTATAAGAAACATTTGTATATTTAAATACGTATTAAGGAGGAATCATTATTTCAAGATCAAAATACAAACACTTTTAACTTACACCTGAATAATTAACTAAATGGGAAACCTTAATTAGAGGACTACGACTGTCATCTAATTTATAATGATCGCTAGTTTCAGGATCCCAAATAACAGTGTCTGTATTTTCTTCTATGCTTAAGACAAAAGCTGCATATTTACTTGTCTGAGAAGAACCTTCAAGATTTTATATATTCAAGTATCAAACTATATAATATATTATTTAAAATATTAATTTTCATATTGTTAATACCTAATAGTACGTATGTTTGCGAGCCAAAACTTTCAAGTAAAGATGCAAGTAAAACAGCGCGACCGTAATGATCAACCTTATTTGCATTTAAAGCTTGACGAGGCGTTAAAGGTCCATAATGATTGGGCACTTCTGGTAATAGCATTACTAGTTTAGCCGCTTCTTCTGGACTTTGTATATCCGTTATTTTATATGGAGATAAAAGACAACGTTGAACATTTTTTAACAGAGTATTAATCGTACTATCCTCCATCAATTTAGCATTACCAGGCAGCTCTAACTTTATCAAAGTATAAATTCTTGTATGAGAATGACCAGGACTGGCTTGTACGTAACCGAATAATATTTTGGGACTACACAAAGGTGACAAAGCTACCCAGCGTTCTAATTCTTGATAATTTCTATGATGTTCAAGGGGTATTCTTGCCTCACCTAACCACTGCTGACCCCATATTGGATGCTGATCGTATAAACGTAACTTAACATTATATTCCTCATTCTTTCGTAGTAACTCAAAGTGCATCGTTTGATGCCATATCGGTGCTGGACCATCTGCGATTGGAGTAGTATGAATAATACCACCCCAGTCTACTTCTAACAATGGTTGAACCAATGCAGATTCTTCTCTAATCGGTATCTCCACCCCACGTAATATAGTAACGGAAAGAAGAGCTTTACCAATGGTGTGATGTCGATGCGTATTGGAGGATGGTCTTAACGGACGCCTTGCTTGTAATAAATTTCTAAAAGATAGATCCAAAAGAGAAAGAATAGGTTGTTCAATTACAGCTACATCTGGGGGTTTCATTATCTGTCCCTCCTTTTTTTTAATTACAATATTATCTTCTATATTATCAAAACGTAAAGCAGGATCTTCTAATAAAAAATATTTGATTTCTCTATTGGATATATTTTTTCTCGGTCTATGTAAAGAAAGAGCATTTTGTGGATCATTCGGATCGTTGCTTAATCTATGCAAATATGTTGTATTAGTTTCTTCTTGACTCGGACAATGTAAAATTAAAGAAACCGTGCACACTACAGTACCTGAGTGAATTTTTCCTGAACTATCAGCTATACCAAATTCTATCTCAATATTATTATTTGTAACTGAATGTTTTGGCAATGGTAATGGCAAAACAGTAGATTGACCATCTTTAGAATAAACTTCTATCGAGAGATTGTTTCTTTCCGAGTTCCTTAGTAATAATTTATGTAATTTTCTATTAAACGGTTTATTAGTCTTACATATAACTTTCTTTCTAAATAAAAGTGACACAGAAGTGATCTCAATGCTTGGTTCGCTTTGATCATTCTTAGAATATATGTTCACGCTGCGTATAGCAATTTCTATTAATTTTCCAGATAACTTTGGTGTCGTTTCATGATCTAACATACTTATGTTATTAAGTAAATATGGTTTAGTCACATTGCGTGTAAATGGATTACTTGAAGTATATAATCCATCTTCTATTAATGAAATCTTGTCAATTTTTTCACGAGGACTTTTACCATTTCTTATTATAACACTGTTCATCTGTTGATCGTTATTTACTACAGGATAAGCATAATTAAGACTAAGATCATGCTTATCACTATCATGTAAATATTCTTTCACAAAATTCATATTTTAAATATACTTATAACTTAATCTTTTACACACACATGACACTACGATGACATTTTCTATTCTATTTTGTGTAGACGATACCATAGAAACGCTGGTAAGGAACCTTAACAACAGAAAAAAATGAATAAGTACTCTTAATTGTACATTAAAAATCTATAATTCCACACTTTATTAATTAATTATTTAATTAATTATTAATAATTGAAAATACAAAAACATTTTCTCTCATTTCTAAACAAAGCAATGATGTTTTCTATTATTTTTTGTTTACAATCAATTGCTGACTTTTTGTTTGTCCATTTTTCTCCAGTCTTTCTAGTTCCAATATGATATCAGTTTTTTATTTTTAATCTAGTAAGTTTTTCCTTGTGCCTGTTCTAAGACAATCATTCTTAACGAGTAAACTCCTTTATAATTAATAATTAAAACAAAATATCTATATTAGATTTCTAATTGTTGTTTGTTTATAAATGTATATAGAATTTAATTACACATTCACTTTGTATACAAGTATTAAAAGTTACTAGGAAATAAGAAAGTTTACAGTATATTGAAATTCTAGTAACATAGCTAAGCCGATATCGGTAATAGTAGTGTTCTACCTTTATCTTACCGACCGAGATCTGATAAGGCAGAATTTTACTTTAACTAACTTTTTGTTTGAAGTAAATATTTCCACTATTAGACACTTTTGGCAGCAGATGTATTTGTATATTTATTAGCCTTGATATCATTAAAAACGCAAGTATTCTTAACTTCAATCATTTTTAATGTAGTGTAATGAGTGTTAATAAACGTGACTATTAAAAAAAAGAAATTAGTATTATATTATTTGGAAGTGTGTTTAAATCTAGTGACAATTTTGTAGAAAAAATGTCGGAAGACGAAGTGGAAAGTTTCGAGATAACCGATTACGATTTGGAAAATGAATTTAATATTAATCGTCCTAGACGAAAACTTACGAAAAAACAACAGATGCTTGGTAAGAATTTTGTGAAAAATTATTAATTAATATTTATACAATAATGAATAATATTTCGAACTTATTATTTTAGTATTTTAAAATATGTATTGTTTTTTTGGTTAGGATGCAGTTATTATGCATTTAATTGTGCATACTAGATATTTTTCATTTAAATCGCTAATATTATTATTTAATATTATTTTAGGCATCTGGGCAGATGACAGCGATGAAGATGAACTTTCTGCAAGACCATCTTTCAAAACATATAATAAAGGGCCAAAGAATTATACCGTTCCAGTTCATTTTGTTGCCGGAGGGATTCAACAAGCTGGTAAAACACCAGAAGAAAAAGAAGACAAAGACAAAGATGAAGACGATGAGGATGATACAAATATGTCTCAAAGAGACGAGGGATATTTTCATAGTTCAAGGTATTATTATAAATAATTTAATAATAATTATTCATATATATCTTTCTATTTTTTCTAATTAATTTCTTAATATTTCTAGCTCGGAGGATGAGAAACCGAGTAATTCCAAACAACGTGCATCATTTTCATTGAACGTAGATGGTGATATAGCTGGATTACGTAAAAAGAGATATCAAGTGAATCCTTCGTTTATGAAAAGCGGTGTTGGTAGTTGGGAAGTTCACACTAAAGGAATTGGAGCAAAACTTTTACTACAGGTAAGAATAAATATAATATTTTTGTATTATATATAATATATATAATCACAATGAATTGTAACTAATAAAAAATATTTTATATATAATTTTAGATGGGTTTTGAACCTGGCAAAGGATTAGGAAAACAATTGCAAGGAATAAGTGCACCAGTAGAAGCTCACTTTAGGAAAGGTAGAGGTGCTATTGGTGCGTACGGTCCAGAAAAAGGACCAAAAGTTATTGAAAAGAGGAAAGAAGAAGCAGAGGAAACAAAAGATTCCAAACCGAAAGTATCTCAATGGCGTAAAGGAGATACGATTAGTAATAAGAAAAAAGTAAAATACTCATATCGCAGTGTCGATCAAGTTCTAGAAGATGGTAAATTGAAACCAAATAGAAAACTTCCGCTTTCTAGTGAAATGAGTAGGGTCAAAGTTATAGATATGACTGGACCTGAGCAAAGAATTTTAAGTGGTTATCATGCGATAGCTAGTGGTCAGCAATATCCTGATGAAAGTATTCCAAGCGTTAATAAAAAGGATAAAATCAATTTTGCTTTACCGGAATTGCAACATAATTTAAATCTTTTGGTGGATATGTGCGAACAAGATATCATACAAAATGATAGAAGAGCGAGACACCTTAACGATAGAGTGATAGCGTTAGAAGCGGAGAAAAAAAATTTATCCAAAGTTGTAGATCAGCATGGACAACTCATTGATACTTTGGAAAATGTTCTAGCCGTTGTCGATAGATTAATGGATGAAACAAGTGATATAACGTTGCAAGATATCGCGGATGTATTTAAAAACTTACAAAACAGATATTACGAGGAATACAAGATGTACGAATTGGGTGATTTGGCAACCAGTTTTGTGGGCCCGAAAATAAAGGATTATTTACTTTCTTGGAATCCATTAATACAACCGAAACAACCAATTAAATTGTTTGAACAATGGAAAGAAATATTAGAAACTGGTATGAGTCCACTTCAAACAAGAACAATTCATCCCTACGACCAACTTGTTTGGAATGCTTGGATGCCTTCTATCAGAGGAGCTGTACAGTAAGTTTTATATCATTTTTGTTTTGTTTGCAATAGAAATTATATGTCTTATATAAAATATTAATAAATAAATGACTTTCTTTTTTTATAAATTAGTCAATGGGCATGCAGGCAGCCAGATCCGTTAATAGAATTATTAGAACATTGGATACCATTGTTACCTGGATGGATTTTTGAAAATATTTTAGATCTTTTAATACTTCCTAAGCTTACTTTAGAAGTAGAAGAATGGAACCCCCTCACAGATACTGTTCCAATACACACATGGATCCATCCATGGTTACCGTTAATGCGTAAATATAACAAAATAATAATTATAATTATCTTATTCATTTCCCATTAATTTGAATCAACTAAACTGATATATTTTTAATGAATTTTTAGGTAATTGGTTGGATACGTTAATATATCCAATCATAAGACGCAAATTGGGTTCTGCTTTAGGAGGCTGGCATCCGTCAGATAGATCGGCAAGATTAATGTTACAACCTTGGTCGGAAGTATTCGCTAAAGCCGACATGGAAGCTTTCTTAGTTAAAAATATTATACCAAAACTTCAAATAGCTTTATCCGAATTTGTCATAAATCCGCATCAGCAGCATTTGGATCAATGGAATTGGGTGATAGAATGGAAAGAATTAATACCTTCACACATAATGGCCAATTTACTCGACAAATTTTTCTTCCCCAAATGGGAACAAGTATTATCTTTTTGGTTAAATCATTCTCCGGATTATGATCAAGTTATGAATTGGTATATGGGATG